GGGGGGGGGGGGTGGTTCCTGCAGAAAATGAGGCAAGAGATAGGGGTAGCTTGGGTCAGGGTGGTGAGGAGTTCGATCCCAGGTATATTTTCATGTTATGACCCAAGGGATCGGTTGATTGGATGAGTGGCCTTCTGAGAAAGGGGTCAAGGATGACTCCAGAGTGTGTGGCCTGAAGAAGTGAGGAAAATGGAGTTGTCATTTCCCACAGTGGAGAAGGCGGCAGGAGGAGCAGATTTCAGGAAAAGGGTCAGGAGCTTGTGTTCGGACAAGTCCAAGAGGTCTACTAATTACTCAAGTGGAGATTCTTCTACGAGCTGCTGGATGTCCAAGAGGAGGACCTAGCCCAGAGGTATAAACTGGGCAGTTGTTAAACATATGGGTGACATTTAAAGCCGTCAGGGGCGCCTGGGTGGCTCAGTCGGTTGAGCATCCGGCTTCGGCTCAGGTCATGATCTCACAGTTTGTGGGTTCGAGCCCCGCATCGGGCTCTGTGCTGACAGCTTAGAGCCTGGAGCCTGCTTCGAATTCCGTGTCTCCCTCTCTCTCTCCCTCAAAAATAAATAAAAACATTAAAAAAAATTTTTTTAAAGCTGTCAGACTGCATGAGAGCACCATCAGATAAAGAGAACACAGTCAAAGCCCGGGACATTCCAGTGATTTGAGGTTGTAGAACTAAGGAAAAATCAGCAAGGGAAATTGAGAAGAAGTCAGGTAGGAGAAAAGCCGAGAGATTATAGTAATTTAGAAGGCCTGTGAAGAAACTATTTCACGCAGGAGAGAGTGATGAACCGTGTCCAAGTCTGCAGGCCAGCCAAGTAAGATGAAGACGGGGGCTGACCTGGTGACCCTGACAAGAGGGTCACAGTGGAGGAAGGGAGCAGACGTCTGGTTATAGTGGGTGCGTGAAAGAAATGGAGGAGAGATTGAGGCAGCAAATGCAGAAGGCGTTGCAAAAAAATGGGGATGGGGGTGTGTGGTTTGAGGGGGATACGGCTCACGAGAAGATTTGCCTTAAGATGGCAGAAATGACAGAATGTGTTTTTATGAAAATAATTCGGTAGAGAAGGACACACTACAGTATTACAAGAGCCTCACTGCTGGAGAAGGAGAAAGGCGGTGAGATCTAGTGCGTAAGTAGAGGTGGCCCTGAACAGGGGGTGAACTGGAGGGAAGGCAGAGCTTACGGGTCCAGAGGCAACACGTGGGAACATTTGCAAGGTCTCTTCTCACTGCTTCTGGGTTTTCTTTTTAAGTTTATTTATGTATTTATTGGAGAGAGAGAGAGAGAGAGAGAGAGAGGGAGAGAGAATCCCAAGCGGCTGATGGCTCACCTGACACGGGGCTCGATCTCACGAACCGCGAGACCATGACCTGAGCCAAAATCAAGAATCGGACACTTAACCAACTGAACCATCCAGGTGCCTCTCATTGCGTCTGTTTTTGAAGTAAAACAGGTAACATGGTCATCATCCAAGAGGAGGAGGGAAGAGGTACTGAAGGAAGGAAGTGGGGAAAGAAGGTATGAGATACTCATCCAGGGGAGCAGGAAAGTGACTGAAGTAGGAAACAGTAACAGCATTGCTGGGAAGCACCGGGGCCCCTCCGAAGGCCAAGGACATGAATTTGAAATAAGATTAGTCAACGATACGTGTGCTCTTCTCTGGCCTTTCTGCCCAGATGGAGAGTTGAATTCAAAATAATAGTAATTCCCCTTCCTCAGAATTATGTCACCGGGGCTGCTTCATCTGGACATTCCTATCGCAAGGTACAATTCATCTTGAGACAGAGGCATGCCTGTGGGCTCCTGGGTACCCTTGGAGTCTGTGGGCTCATTTCCAAATCGAATACCTGATATTTCCCGAAATACAGGAACCGAGTGCTTTCACGAAGGTTCTGCCATCTCATCCGTAGGCTAGCTCAGTGGAGTCTCCAGTATTATCCCTCATGTTAGCAAATGCAAACCTTTGCTGAATGACTGCCAGATGGAAGGGCCCTGCTTTAAGAGCGGATAGAAAGAACCCAGTGTATGGCACGTACATTATGCCATTTATACCCTATTTTGATGAATATTTATCAACCACTTACTGCTGCTTGATTCTACGCCCTGATGGAGTATAGAAGAAACACAAGATTCATTTATTCAAGAAACGTATCGCTGCCTAATACATGCCAAGCATCATTCTAGACACTGGGGATGAAGCGGTGAGCAAAAATAAAGTTCCCGAACTCATTAAACACTTATGACGTGTTCCAAGAAGGAAAATGAAGTGGCGTATCTAGGAAGGGCTCTCTGATGAGTGACATTTGAGCAGAAGTTTGAATGACATATAAAAACAAGCCATGTGAACGTGTGGGAGAGAACCTTCCAGGCGGGTGAAACATCAGGTGGAAAGTCCCCGAGGCAGGTTCTGTGCCTTCTGTGTTCAAGGAAGAGTAAGAAAACCAGCATGGCTGGAGCCGAGTAAATGAGGGAGAGTGTAGAAGAAACTGAGCTGGGTGGGGAGCCAGAATATGAATATCTCTGGACCAGAGCAAAGGCTTTGGATTTTTTTTTTTTTTTTCAGTTGATGGAAAGGCATTACAAAGTTCGGGGCGCAGGGAACCATGGCCTGATATATTTTTAAAGAATCACTTTGCTGCTCAGAGAACAGGCCCTAGAGAGGCAAGAGAGAAACCAGGGGAAAGAATTATGAGGACGATAAGCCAGTGAGTGGAGAAGCCAGATCATGGGGGTTTGGAAGAGGGCTGGAGGTGACGAGAAGTATTCAGACTGGAGACAATTTTCATGGTAGGATCCATGGGACCTTTTGATGGATGTGTGTGTAACGATAGCTCTTTCAAAGAGCTCTGCTTTAAGAGCAGCAGAGAAGTTTGACGGAAGGTGGGGAAGAATGCGGAGTCGTGGGAGAGTGTTTCAGCAAGTGAGTTGAGAAGGAAAATTTGATGATGCAGAAGAGAGAGAGCATAGTCGCTAGAACGGTGCCTTGAACAGGCGAAAGGAAACGGACCTAGCACACAAGGAGAGGGGTTGGCCTCAGAGATATAGACAGTCCATCCATAATACAGGAATGAAGGCAACCAACATGGGTACGGAGGCAAGCAGGACGGTACCTGTAATGGGACTTCGTGAAAGTTCTCTTCTGATTGCTTCCATTTCCTCGGTTAAACAAGAAGCACAGTTGTCAGCTAAGAGCGAAGAAGGGCCACAAGGCAGTAAAGGTTTGAGGAGAAAAGAGAAGGAGTGACATAACCACGTAAGAAAGTAAGAGAACGAATAATGAGATGTGGTAGGGTCACCACGCAGCACTAAGGGCCCACTTGAGGTTAATGGACACGGATTTAAAATGAAACCAATTCAGATAGTGTCCCCAGCTTCCAGGCTGAGTGAAGAGCACCCAAACGGTATTTACTGAGAACTTCCTGAGTGCCAAACATGATCTCATTGGATCCTCTGAAATTTCTGAGGAGTCATCCCTATTTTATAGTTGAGGAAACAGGCTTAGAGAAGTTAAAGGTCTTGTCCAAGGTCAACCCACACTGCTAGGAAACAGTGGAACTGGCTTTGGGACCCAGAGTGGCAGACTCCACGTTCAATCCACGTTCAACCACCAGGCTCTGCTGTTTCCACAGGATGGAATATTGTCACACGCTGGCCCAAATATGCCAATATGCTAACATCGACCGAATCTGGGTGAAAAGCACATAGATGCACACTGAACTGTTCTTTCAACTCTGATAATTTTTTCTAACAAAAAGCTAGGGGGAAATAAGAAAATCATAATTTGAAGTAAAACAAAAATTACTAAGACATGTTTTAAAAGTAGGCTATAAATTGGTATGGTCCAATTTTTGTAAAAGATATAGACCGCTGGGGCGCCTGGGTGGCTCGGTCGGTTGAGCGTCCGACTTTGGCTCAGGTCATGATCTCACGGTACGTGGGTTCG